GGGAAGGAATACAACACAGGCAAACAAGAAGTTTCCCCATAAGGATTAAAATTTTTATTTCGCAACGATCAAAACATCCAAAACGTTTTTATTTTCAAGATGATCGAAACGATTCAATGATAAAATCATAATTTTTAATGCTTCAAAGTGTTTCGTAATGTCTCAAGGTATATTGTAATGTTTCAATGTATTGTACACAATTTATTTCATAATATTTAAAGGCGTTTCAAAATATTTTGATATATTTCGACAAATGTTTTTTAAAAATTAATTCTTAATTTTTTTATTATTTTCATTCTGTTTTCGAAACGGGTCGAAACGTTTCTATTTCCTAGATGACCGAAATACACACCGAAACCAAATTTATTCCTTGGATCCACACAAACAAACACAAAGCATGGAATTTTATAGGGATCAAACATTGTTATGAGAAACAATTGCCCTCCATTTCAACTTGAAGAACAATTGATGAGGCATTATTCAGAATCAAAGATGTTATGCAGCATAAAGAGTAGAACACCTGAAACTTGCACTCCTATAATAATCAAACTGTACTAAATTCCGTTTTTGATGTCTGGACATACAAATTCTTCTTACAAAAGAATAGACCAAAAAACAAAAGAATACAAAGGAAAAAAAAACATGCAATGTAGTAATGAGCATCCCCATTTTTGCTATGGGTTGGTTCTCTACTTCCGAAGATGGAGGTAATTTGATGGTCCTTTTCACATAGGTTCTCAGCCGACGTTTTTGGTGTGGGGAAGGCGGAGGAAAAGAAAGAAGCACTCTCACCCCTCCACAGTTTTCCCACTGGTGTGTCTTTTTATTTACTTGGCTGAATATCGATATCAACAAGTCTGCCTGTGCTTGCTTGAGAATGTACATCCAACAAAGCCTGGAAATTTATTTTACTGAACCTGCTCACCGATCAAGTCAAGGCCCACAAAGCAGGAACGATACTCCCTGAAAAGCAAGAAGTAGAAATGGATCCCCTGAGCGGACAATAGGCTCCGTGCTGAAGCTGTCAAAAGAAGGAAAGCAAGCGCCAACTCTTTCTGTGTATATCCTATTGTGTTTCTTCTTCTTACTCTTCTGCTCCTGCTGTTTAATTTCTTCCTTCATTTCCACTAAATTGGGCACAAAACACCCGTTTCATGCATTATTGGTTCTTTCTCAGCCAAAGAGACAAGATCACCCTCAGAGGAACGTCCGATTTCTTGTGACACCCCATTCATACGCACATTCCAAGTTTGAAATAGGCCCGAAATCATGGCGTTGAACTTGGTCACTAGACATAGTGTTCTCAAATAGAAGATAAGGGACAATGAAAGGGAAAGATTTTGGGGCAGGAAGTATATTGAGAAACGACATGGTGGCTGGAATGTAAACAGACGACCCATGATGGTAATTGTAGCCTCAGGGATGACACATTGTCAATGGAAGGATTATGCAAAAGAGGGTGAATGAATAAAACGGCAGTATCAGTTTTCTATAGCAGGAAAAAGAGGAAAAATCAATTGACTTTCTTCCAAACACTAATCTGCATCAAACAATTATAACCAGAATAGTGTCAGTGACAGAATTCAGCCCATATCATCAAATTCAACGAGTAGTACACAATGCAAACCCAACCCACACGTGTTGCACTAGTTGAATACCTTTGATCGATAACTTCGGGCAAACAGAGCCGAAACAATTGCATAGGCCCTGAATGCCACCTGTGTTGTTGTTTCCTGTAAGCTTCATACGATTCTGGTACTTCACATTGGCACTGAAAATGGGTTGAACAAAACATTATTGTTGATTCAAAAAAAAAAACATTACCATGAGAAACATTGATGACAGCGAATTACGGTATAGCAGCAAAATACCTCCACATCATTAAGGAAAATGAACTTCCATCCATGAAGATGAGCCCGAACCGCAATGTCCATGTCCTCAACTGTAGTTCTCTCCAACCACCCACCAGACTCCTCCAATGCCTTTATCCTCCACACACCAGCAGTCCCATTAAATCCAAAGAAATTCAGGAAAATCCCATTCACCTGCTGCTCCACTTCGAAATGAAAAGCCAAATTAATATGCTGCAACCTCGTCAACAAGTTTTCATCCTTGTTCACAAAGGACCACCTTGCCTGAACCAATCCTAGTTCCTCATTATCCTACAATTCGCAGAGAAAAATGTATATTGGTTTAATTGAACAAAACACATCACTACAAATTCATAAGTTTGCACACACATCAAACACATACACACATCTAATTACATAGACAGATTCATACACATACTGGGATGTGATCCAGGCATCAAAATTGTCATGGCATTGTGGTTCAGTACTAAAAATTATCACGGGGAAAATATAGGGAATTTTTGTGAATACCTTGAAATGAGGAACTGTTCTTTGGAGAAAGTCAGGGTTGGGCTGAAAATCAGCATCAAAAATGGTAACAAACTCGTAGTCTTTGACATAGCTACAATTCATAGCAGACTTGAGATTGCCAGCTTTGTACCCTTCTCGAATCACTCTATGCCTATACACAATGTTGGCACCTTCTTGCTGCCACTTACATACCTCTTCTTTGATCAGCAATTGTGTTGTTGGGTCATCCGAATCATCCAACACTTGAATTAGAATTTTCGTCTTAGGCCAGTCTAAATTGCACACAGCAGCAATAGACTGCTGATAAACCTGATAATAACAACTCCAATTTTAGACAAAACAAACACAATTCTAACAACAACAAAAACTGTAAATTGAGATCAATACCGACAAATACTCAAATGGATTATTTGAAAAGTTACCTCTTTTTCGTTGCACATGGGGATCTGAACTAGAACCATGGGGAAATAACCAACACCCTCACCAGACTCCAGATCCACTGTGGCTTGTTTGGGGACTGGCTTGATCTTCTTGAATTTGATCCAGAAACAACCCAAACAGAGGACTAATCTATCTAGACTCTGTATAAGGAAGAGCAAAATGCATGCATTGGCAAGAAACTGAAGAGGAGGAGCGAGATACTCCACCCTAATCAAAACCCATCTCGAATAAAGCGAATCAAACACACCCTTAAAAGCTAATGGGTTCGTCAATGTGTAGAAGTACTGCAATTGAAGATCAGGTGCCCCAAAATGCCAACCTTTGAAATATGCAGCTACCTCAAACCCCAGTAACAAAAGGGAAACCCAAAGAAACACCTTTATACATGAATAAAACTCAGATTTAACAGTAAAGTTCTCGGTGGCCATGTCGCCACTTGTTTCATTGTCAATGTCGGTTCTGCCGGAGGAGACACGGCGGCGAATGGCGGCGGTGAGGTTGAGCAATGCATTGGCGATGAATGTTAAGCAACCGGCGGCTTTGTGGGCCTTGAGTAGGAGGACCCAGGTGAGCTGTTTGGCGTTTTTGTTTCTGGTTTTGTCTTTAGGACGACTGGCCACTGAGGTTTCGTCGCTGTCGTAGAGAAAGTCATCTTCTGATGGGGCTTCGAGCTCGACCATGGACCAGTTGTTTGGGTTTTCCATTTTAATGACTACTGGTGTTCCTCTGTGGTTCTCTTTAGCCCACCAATCGAATGATGGTGCCATTGTTGGAGTGCTTGATCAGAGACCCAGATCAAAAATTGGAGTTGGAAGTTTGAAATTTTGATGTTTTGAATCTCAAATGGTTTGAATGTGAAAACCACAGATAGAAAACGCTATAGTGGCATTGCTATGGAGAGAGAGAGAGAGAGAGAGAGAGAGAGAGAACGAAGAATGGTTTTAGAAAACGGAGAAGGTGAAGAGACAGAGAGACGCGTGTGGAGGTGAGAAGCTTGGCGTCTCTTAACTCATGGCAACATTCGTATAAATCTTACAAGGGGGATTGTATATAGAGAGAGAGGAGGACAGAGGAGAGAGATACTCACAATAGCTCACATTCAATTACAGCTTGCAAAAGGCTTGTAATTGTAAACATGTAGAGCAACCGAAATTGATGGGGAGAGAGAAAGAGAGTAACAGCACAACACGTCTTCGATTTGGATTACAGAATGATAATCAAAATTGAGACACAAAAAACACAGCACTTTCTTAACTCTGTGCTTATTTTATGGTTTTAAAACACAAAATCACACGAAAAAAAAAACCTTAAAATCTGAGGTTAAAACCAGTAGGTGAGAGAGAGAAAGCACAATTTCAAAACTCCATAATAAATTTTTTTTAAAAAAAAGTGAAATAAATAACATGAAAAAGACAGGGTTCCGACAAAAAGCTATGGGCTTTGCTTTCAGAATTTTTTTCTGCACCTACTACTCCTTTTCTAATTTGATTCACATAAAACCCAAACTACCAAAAAACATTTAACGACGTAACCCCTGTACCTAAACCTAGGAACCCTCTGATTAAGAAAAAACTTTCTGACCCAGAAATTTTTTTAGTGAAAATAGAGGAACAACGCAGGCTCTAATAAAGACTCAACATATAAACACACATGTGAACAGAGAATTAGAGAAGGTAAAGTGTCATTATGGAAAGGTTGAAACTTGGATCCTCCTTCCTTCTAGGATAGATCTTTTTCCGTGTTTGAAATTAAGGAAACAATCAATGTTCTTTTCTCTTTTTTTCCGACTTTTGGGTTGATGTATAAAATATTTTTTTCCCACGCTGGAAAAACAAAAACAGAAAGTAAAATTGAGAAAGAAGGAGTAAAGATCTAACAACCCAAACGCGTAAATCAAGAAGAAAAAATAAGCCATTTTCTCTTCTTCTTTTTTTATTTTTTTTTTAAAAACGGTCTAATATTGCATGCATAAAATTTATAAAAAAATAACATCAGTTAAAATTAATTCAATTCTCATATATTTTTTTCTAATAGAATAAGATTAATCCCAAAAAAAAAAAAATTATGTCAAATATAAAACAACTCAACTAATACACTCTCTAATATCAGGTTAATTAATCAACACCTAAGAATTAACAATCAAATTAATTGTCACCGGTTCGTTGTTGAACCATTAAGTCGTGAATTCCAACCTCACCAAACTCTCCCTTGTAAAAATTTCAAATAGTGACAAAAAAAAAAAAACCTAATTAATGCTTACCTTTCTCTTATTTCTCTTTTTTCCTCTTTGTTCAATTTAATTTTAAATTATATAACTAAATAAATAATTATTTAAACTATAAATATTAAACAATCAATATTTAATTTTTGATATTATAAATAGTTTTTCCATACAGAATTATTGCTCGTATATATTGATTTTGAGGTTTTTGGATTTTTTTTTTTTTGGGGCGGGAATATTTAAATGGTAAAAGAAGAGAAGATGCCGGTGGCGTATGTCTTGGGCTAGCGTCCAAGTCTGCCATACAGTAAACACTAAAAAGGTCAGTGCCGTAAAATACAAACTAAAGATTTTGAGCGATTGACTAAATTACACTATTCACGCTTGGCCAAATACAGTGGCAAAAACCCACGATTTGTAATATTATTAATAATTTATGAGTAATGTTAGATGGACTTAAAAATTAGACTTAAAACTTAAACTTTATAATCTCAATAATTGAATAGGTAGTGGGTCCCAATAAATGCTGAGACTCACAATGAAATCAATTGTTGAGATTATCAAGTCTAATTTTTAAGTCTATATAGCATTGTTCATAATTTAATAAGTCATGACAAAGAGTAAATGATTTTAAGGTTAGGAGTGTTTGAGTCAGTTTATATACATTTTAATTAATTATATTTTTAGTTCGATCAAAAATAAGTCACTTATGCTACAATTATGTTAAATCGCTTATAAAATGATACACAAATTTATCATCTTCGATGGGAACACACGAGATGGACTCTAACTTTCTTAAATGTAAGTGAGAAGCCATTTAGAATATTTTAAATAAAAAAGTGGTTTTTATATGAGAACTTAATTTCACATTGATTAAATTTTTAGAAGTACTCAAGCATATATATGCATCAGTATTATCTAACCTTTAAATTAAAGTGAGATCTTAGAACTCTCATGTGCTCAGGAGTAGAATAAATAGAGAAAATATAGATTTTGCGAGTCCCCTTAACTCGCCTAAATGGAATAAAATATTAATTAGTATTAAACCCATTTTTTAATATTTTATTTAATTATTTTTCATCATAACTCATGAATTAAAAATTCAGTTGTTGAATATCAAAAGTTTCAACGGCTAATATTCTAACTATTATTTTTTAAGTTATTATCTAATTAAATATATGAGTAATTACGTAATATTAAACATCTATATTTTTTATATATATATTTCAGTAGAGAAAATATATAATTTGATATTTATAACAATCTCTTTACTGTATAAGTTTTTGGATAATATTTAAAAGTGTCGTATAAAACTTCTGTTTCATTCGATTGTACAGATTTGAGTGACGCAACAGTTAATAGATTAACTATTGTATCTTGAGGACGATACGTTATTGCCTTATAAGTTGTGTTTTTTTTCATAAAAGGGCGCGATTCGTCTTAAAGAATGATTTAATTTGTATTTCACCTTGTTGTTCACTTTATTTTCACGTCCCATTTTTGTTACAATGCCAATCGGTGAAATTTTTATAGAATACTTAAGCTCATTCCTCGAGCGACATTATCATCTCTATCAAGTGAAAATTGATCCCCCCCCAAAAAAAAAAAAAAACTAAATAACTGTGGGTTAAAACAATTTATATCATACAAGTAAACTAACCCTTATGGTATTCGACAAATTCCCTTAATAGTTATTCTTTTAATATAAGTCACGGAAGAAAAACAAGGAAATTATTATTTGTATTTTGTATAATTTTGCATAAAAACTACACGTTGATTTTATAACTATAAATCACAATAGAAAATTGTTTGTTAACGTCAAGAATGTAATTTTTGACTGAATAAATAATAAAAATTAATAAAATAATTATATTATAATATTTTTAATATATTGATAGTATAATATAAAAAATTTAAAATTTAAAAATATAAACTAACAACTATTAAATTTTTATGGTGTAAGGCATGTTTGGTAGAAGGATTAAATGATATTATTGGATGGGATAAAAGGAAATAGTAGGTGGGGTCCACCTTATATATTGTTTGTTTAACATTTTACGCTCAGTATTATATTTAGGGTCGTAATACCGACTCAATTTAAATAATGTCCTAAATGTCTTGTACATGATGTTAATGAATACCACATATCCGCTGGTATTATCTTTCCGGAATAAATAAAAGGACGGTATAAGAGAATAAAAAACACAAATGCCCTCTTCTGTTAAGAGTTCACATTTTAAAAAATTATTTTGAATTCTTTCTTTGGATTATGTTTAATCGTATGGTGTCATCGATTTTTTTAATTTTTTTTTTAAAATTATTTTGAATTTTTTGCTTATATTATGTTTAAATGCATGGTGTTACCATTTTTTTAAAAAAAATTATTTTAAAAGTTTTTTCCTTCTATTATGTTTAAACATAAGGTGTTACCAATTTTTAAAAAAAAATTATTTTAAATTTTTTTTATATTATGTTTAAGCGTACAATGTTATCGGTTTTTTTTAAAATTTTTTTAAAAAAATTATTTTGAATTTTTTTCTTATAATATGTTTAACCGTACAATGTCATCGAATTTAAAAAAAAAAAATTTTACAACATCACCGATTCATAGTATCAGATTCTTTATTTTTTAAATGAATTTTTTATATTATTCAAAAATTTTTGAATATAAATTGTTATATCATGTATTATACCAAACAAGGGCATAAATTACTTTAAATTATAAGGTTACAATAGTCTTTTTATATTGAATAGTTCACCTGACACACCTTTTTAGATAAGTATCACACAAATAATTTTTATAATAAATAAAAAAGAAAAATGATGGAATAAATATTTAAAATCGAATATAATGTCCTATCGAATAAGAATGGAATGAATACAATTTTAATACCACTCAAATTTAATCCTTAAAACAAACATGCCCATAAGGATTCTCCAAAAACACAAAAAAGACACCAATTAACAAGGGTCTGGGTGTCGTAATCGTGGGCGCACGCGCTTTTGATGACTGTACAGGTAAAATGATAGTTCGATATGGTCCCAATGGTCTAAAATAGCCTTTCTGTCTATTAGGTCACCGACAATTTATGCCAAAGTGCAATTCCAACAACAATTTCTACTTCCGGAAAATCATAAATAAGAGAATATGGAAAAAAAGAGTAAAGACAAATGGGGCCCACCACCATAACTTTACAGCACTTTTTGTAGTGCAGGTTTCAATATCACACATATATTAAACTTTTTTATTTTTCTGTTTTTTTTTTGTTTTTTGTTCCATCCTTTGTGTTTAATAAAAAAAATAAAAAATAAGAATTTTTTTTTTGAAAAATACTATTAAGACCAAGTATAGTAAATTAATTTCAGGACCTAACTAATTATATGTATTAAATTAAAAGTAATCTTCATCTAATCTTAAAAATCATAAATAATTAATAATAATAAAAAAATATATCTGATTAAGTTTTTAAATTAGACCCCTATAATGTTATTCTAATATATATATTTTTTTTAATGTTTGGTATGGAAAAAAAGTAAAAAGAATGA